CCTCCCCTCTGGGAACCATCCGTGTGTTCTCTGTAGTTGAGAGTCTGTTTCTTGGTTGTCTCTTTTTTCAGTATATGCCAGTATTCTTACAAGGACATACCACAGTTTACTTAGCCACTCTCCTTTTAATTGAGCCCTGCTTTTTAATTTATATGGATTCTGTACATTTACTTTTTCCTTAGAGAATGTTACAGTTTTTCTTTTTTGTTATAGTTTTTCTTAATTGTTAATGGGATCTTTTCATTTTATCTTCTACCTGATTATCAGTCCGTTTAAAGAGTAAATGACTCTGGCTGCATTAACACATAAAATCACCGTGTTACACCTCGGCGAGTTTGTGCATTCGTTTTTCTGAAGTGAATTAGTTTTCTCTGACGGCCTGTTGAATACAGTTTTACCTCAGAGCCCCGAGCCCCGCATCGTTTGTCACATGGTGCTAGTAGGCAGAGACACACGATGGGCATTATCTGTGGTTCTGGCCACTGAGTCCTGGAAAACGGGGCTTCTTTACCTTGAATACTCTACAAGTGTCTTTGCTACAGGAACAGCCATTTTCTGATAGTTCCAACTTCCGTCTCAGACGGTTTCCTTTCCAGCAAACAGCTAGGGCATTGCTCTCCCTGTTGGGTGTGACAGTGCACCGCAGCGCCCCCTCCAGGAGAGACGCGGTAGGTCAGTGCGCGCGCGCTGTGTGCCCCGCCCCTCCCCGGGTGCCGGGAGGAGGAAAAGCTCCGCCGGGCAGTCAGCTGTGAGGTCTGGCACGCGTCTCCCCGAGACTGTGCTCCCCAGGTCCCAGTGGTGCCGGTCAGTGTGTGGTCTCCGGGTAAGAGCGACATACCTGTAGTTAATTCGTGTGTCACCTGTGCGTTCTCTGATCCTCTCCCTTTCCTGCCTAAGCCAGACTTCGAGCGCGCTTTTTCATTCTGAACACACCTGCTGTTGACTCGGCTCTCTTCTCTTTAGTTTTAGGCCTTGGTCTCTTTACCGTATCTTCATATATACTTGAGGGTTTTTTTTTTTTTTAAATAGGTACTTTAAGGTACAGCATATGATTTTACACATTTATTTTGTTTAATAATCATATTCTGTTTTTTCCCTAATAAAAACTGTTTCGATCCTTTAATATTCTGAGGTTTTAGACTAAGAATTCATTTTCTACTAATGCCACAACTTGCAAGAGTAAAAAAGAAAATGTTGAGACTCTAGAGAGCACGGACTTTTTGAGAGGTTATATAGTCATGACATAGGATGAACTGGTTGGAACCCACCTATTAGCTGCGTGGCCCTGAAAAATTACTTGATTTATTTCACTCTCAGTTTTCCTCAAATTGGAACATCAGGGTTAATTTTATCTACCTTGTAGAATTACTTTTTACAATGACTGAGAATATGTGTGTGATATGCTCAGGACATTGCCTGGCATACTAAGCTCTCGATATAAGAGAAGTTCTTATTTATTAAGTATTTAGAGTAAAGAAAGAAGCTTAATATTGCAACTACATCATCTTATGTTATAGAAAGACAAACATTAGATTTTTATCATGTCAACCCTGAGTTGTATGTAAGGATAACTGAGCTTATAGAATTATTTTTTTATGATTCCCATTCCAGAGTTTTACTTCTGGGCCTGGGCCCAAAACCATGCATGCATTCATGCGCTCATTTAATAAGTACTTATTGAACACCGTAAATAGTGGTAGATGTAGGGCACAGGTATTCAGCAGTAAATAAAATAAACAATCGCTACCCCTGTGGAGCTAACATTACCCCCCATGCAGTCAAAACTCCACATACAACTTTTGATTCCCCAGGAACTTAACTGCTAATAGCCTACTCTTGATCGGAAAAGCCTTACCGGTAACATAAGCAGTCATTTAGTATGTATTTCATATGTTATATATATTGTATACTATATTCATGCAACAAAGTGAGCTGGGGAAAAGAAAGTATTAAGAAAATCATAAGAGAAAATGATTTACAGTACTATCTTTATTGGAAAAAAAAATCCGTAAGTGGCCCCATACAGTTCAAACCCGTGGTGTTCAAGGGTCACCTGCAGTGTGTTTGGGGAACAAGGAAGGAGTGGACATTTGGAGAGGAATGTGCAAAATGAATTTATAAGACCAGTTGTAAATGATTAGAGATTCTTTATTGTACTGAGTTATTCATATCACTGTTCCCATCATTAATCTAGAATCTGTTGGTAATAAGTAACTGGTTCCCCTTGCCCCTGCTAACCCAAGAGTAAAGAATTGTAGCTGTGCATTTTGTCAGTCTTTAATAAGTAATTACAGCATACTCATTTAAAAATGGAAGTTTCATTGGTCAGTGTTTATATTCTTTTATTTTGGATTTTGCTTTCAAATTATGGCTCATAGAATGGTATCAGTAATTTGAAATATGTGCACATATGAACTGTACTAATATGTTTTTTTCTTCTATAGGCTTTCTACAAGTATAAGAGAGTTACAGAATTTTAAAGTCTTATTACAACACAGTAGGTAATAAAGGCTTTTATATGTCTGATTAGAGACATAATCGGACTGTGGGAAGCGTGTTGGTCTTGGACATTCAGCAGAAGGAGACTAACCTTCAAAGACTTGAAGAAGGAATTCTGAACTCTTAAAGAAAAAATTAAAATGTTCACTTGAATATTTATGATTCTTAATAGATTGTCAATTAGATATATTTATAAATGAAGTATATACTTTTAAAACATGTAACATACTAATTCTGTGTTTAATTTCATATGTTTCCATCTGTTGAAATAGTCTATTCTGTTTGTTTAGAATTGGTTTTTTCTTATTCTGTTATTCTTTATTTCCAGTTGTCGGACTTAAATGACCATTGTAATAAACACTGTTAGCAGTCTGTTGTGGAAAGGAGAGCTAGAGAACAAATGTTGCTTCGGGCTAGCATCAATGATAAAAATTTATCAGTGATTTTTCAAACATGTTCTTAGCCTTGCCTGATGTCACCTTCTATAACCCGGAAGCATCAGTGTAATGAATGGCCCTTTCAGTGTATAGTCACAGAAGGGACTGAAGAATCCCCAGGACTTCAACTTCAGTTTCACTGGTTTTTATTTGAGATTTTTAGTTGCTGTTTTGTTTTGGTCTAAAGGCCCTGCTTCAGGAAAGGTGAATGCGTACTGTCCCCTCAGCTAGCTGCCCGGCCAGATTGCCCGTGTGTGTCGTGGGCTGCTCCAGAGGATTCTTTACTTAGAACCTATACTCTGTATCTGTTTTTGATTTTGCATTTCTTTGTCCTTACTCCAATTTTAGAAAATTTTTGTTCACTTTGAGAAAAAAAATTTGCATAAATACTTGTTTCACTTTGATAAAATTTGAATGGGATTATATGGATTTATAATGCCACTTTTAAATGATATACACAAAATTTACTCTTTTAAATTAAGCGTTTTTAAAGGATTTTATTTTAGAATACAATCTATGCAATCCTCTTTCAACCTGAATTTCTTCGGTAGGTTAAACAGGTAGATGAATTCAGCCTTGTGAAGCTTCCCCTCTCCCTTTTTCATTTCAGTTCATTGTATATAAATGGTACTCTGTACAGATGACCTTCATGTCCTAAGCTCATTTTCTAAAGCTGGGATTTAAATATCCTTCAATATTTAAAATATTCTTTTAAAAGCTGTTAGAGATAGAACGTGATTAACTTGGAAGGAGGCATCTGTGTAGAAGTAATGCAGGTACACAACCTAGAGTTTCTCCTTCGACTCTTCAGTCTTTTATGAAGTGCTCTTAAACCCGTACCTTACCTGCCAGAGTCTGAAATGTGTTCATCGACGATTTAGTGGTGTATTTTAAACTGTATTTAGTTGGCTCACCCCTCTTTTAAAACTATTTGGTCATCCCCTGGGAGGGATATGGTTGAAAGGAGTAAGGTCTCACTATTTTCTTACCCAGTTTCAAACTTTATAGACCCAGGGGTTATTTGTTGTTGATGGTGGTGACTTTTTTTTTTGGTTAAGTCAAATAAAACAGGCCGGCTTGATTGGAGCCGTCTCCACTTTTTCTTTTCAGTTTTAGGGATGTAAGTATTGTGTGGTAGGAGAGGGGGACCTTAAGGTAAATTTGTCTAAAAAGTGAATAATCTTGTTGGTAAATTAGTAAGAATTATTCTTAGTGTTCAGAGTTTAAGAAAATGTGAAAGTTTTGCACTTTGTCTATTATTACTGTAAGTTTAAGAATCTTTTTGGTAGTGTTACTTCACAGTTCCCTCAGTTAAAAGCTATTATTTAAATTCTGTTTACTGGAGAAAAATCCTTGGTCATTTCCAGTGATTTTTTTTTTTTTTTTTTACTGTGATTTGTTTCAGGCTTAGGAAAATTGTGTATTAGAGTGAGTTCTAGGAAACTAAATGGTTAGTATAAAAAGTTCTTTTCAAAGTTTTAATGAATTTTTGCACCACCAAGAAAATAAACAAATGATTAACTTGATTTTACCACAAATTGGATTGTGGGGGGCAGCCTCCGTTGTGTGTGTGTTCTCTCTTAAATGATTGTATAGGTGTAGGAATCTTTGTTTTGTGAGCCTGGTGATACTGTATCTTTGTGATATAACCTCTTTTTCCAAGTCCCAGACCCTTTGTCCTACAGGGACACTAGAGGACCGACTGCCTTGTGAAAACGCTTGGCTGGTAATTCCTCTCTCATTTTGTCGTTATCTCATCACCTAATTTAAAAGTCCAGCACTTGATAATATAACTGACAGAAATGATTGTACCAGCTGACGAAGTAATGAAAATGAAGAAAAGAATTCCTTCCTTCAATGGCATGAGTTTATTTTTTTTCCTTAAGTGGCATTGATGTAAGTTAGAAATACTATATATTAAAATTGATAAAATTTGCATGTTTCTCCTGTGTTCTTAGATTATAGAGGATCAGACAGAATAGTAATAGTTTTCCCAGTTTTGAAATTTAAGTCAAACATCGTAACGTTGTGAATTTACTCGATACCTGTAGTCTGTAGGTCCATGAAACACTGCCATATTCTCCAACTTTACCTAGGTGCCAGTGTAAATAAGAAAGGACAGCTATTTCGATCTTCATCAGCATTGCCTTCAGCTGGAAGTTTGGGAACAGTATACAGTAAACCTCTCAGCAGTTTGCAAAGTGAAGTACCTGCAGAAACCATAGCTATTCACCCAAACACACAGACAGGTTACTTGGTATCATGGAAATTATTTGGTAAAATAACACGCACGCACAGGTGGACAGGCATTACAGTTTAATATCAACAGGTGTGGCTTTGATTTTGAACACCATCCCAGATAATTTGTTGTGCCCACCAGACTATAGCGAATGTGAGTCAGATGAGCGTTTCTGCGGTCTTTCTTTCTTGTTTCCCTCCCCCCGCCTTTTAAATGTTTCCCTTCACGAGCTGAGGATTTGATTGTAATTTGCGGCAACCGAAGGAAATACTGAAGGAGTGTGAGCTTGTTTTACGTCGGCCGTCGGCAGCCGCTGTAGTACGAGCTCTCCCTGGATTCCTTAATCTTCACGGCAGCACTGGTTGGCAGGTAGAATCACTAACCCGTTTGATAAATAAAACTGAGGACAAGAGTGGCTCTCTGTCCTCACAAATTCTAGGCTGTGGGGCTAGTTTAAAATCAGAAAGTCTGACTCCAGATCCTTTGCTCAGCATGTCATGTATCTGTGTTACTACCTAAGTTGGCTCATCACTGTTCAACTAAAAATTGGGGACTTTTAGCATCTTCTGACTTGTACAGAGTCATAAGGCTTTTTAAATCTACTTTATTTTTCAAATAGGTAATACATTCACATGGTTCAAAGACCAAAAAATATGAAAGGCTATACAGTGGAATGTCTTCTTCCTGTCCTCGGCCCCCTGTCCATACTGCATATCCTCCCCCATCCATCACCCCCATAACCTCTGTTCTGGGTTATGTTTCCATCCATACTTTTTTGGGGGGCACATACAAATACAAATGTAAAGTCTTAATTAATTTTTCCTTTCATTTTTACCCAAAGAGTGGCATCCTATACATACCATTTGCTTTTATTGACTTTATTTTTCTTGGTAGTCTTCCCACCTCCCTAGATAGCTTACTCATTAAAGCTTTTCTTAGTAACTGCTTAGTATTCCATTATATGAATGTACAATTGTTTAATTAACCATCCCCTCTTAATGGCCATTTGGGTTGTTTCCAGACCTTGTGCATGTCATTTCACACATACATAAATGTGTACTTGTAGAATAAATTCCCCAAAATTCAATTTCACAGACCATGATAGAAGAATATTTCCCTCTGTAGAGGCAGTTACCTGGTTCACATACAAGACCGTACCTGCTTACCCACCACCTTACCTACGTAGATGTGGGTTTGACGTTTGCCACTCCGGTAGATACAAAATTACGTATCAATGTGTTTTAGTTTCTCACTTGTAGTAAGAAGTTAGATTTCTTACAAGTGAGATTGACCCCCTTTAACGTGTTTAAGATCCACTTGTATTTCGTTTTCATACCTGTTGCTCATTTTTCTACTGCATTGTTGATCTTTTATCAGTTTCTAGGAGTGCTTGGTTACAGATATTAATCCTTTGTGATGAGCTCTAAATTTTTTTTTTCAATTTGGTGTCTGTCTTTTGACTTGGCTTATGGTGGTTTTGCCATGCAATTTTTTTTTTTTAATTTCTGTTTCTCAGTGGTTTCTGGACTTCGAGTCATAGTTTGAACACCTTCTTCCTTGCACGGCAATAATTCACCGATAGTTCCTTTTAGAGCTTTCATGGTTTTTTAGATCTAAGTTTTGATCCCTTTGGAGTATGTCCTGGTGTAGGGTGTAAGTTACGGATGCAGCCTAATTTCTTCCTAGGTGATCACCCAATTCCAGTACCACTGACTGAACAGTTGGTCTCCTCCTCCGTAGTCTGAGATGCTACATTTATTATATCCAACGTTACACATGGAGTCAGCTCCTCCGTGTCGGGGTTCTCGTTCTGTTTCATCGGTCTGTTTATTTTAATTACTCAGGGTCTGTGTTTAAATATCTGGTGTGTTGGTCCCTTCTTCTCCCCAACCCCCGCCCTTTTTAAAAACAGTTTTCTTTAGCTGTGCTTGTTTATTCCATATGCACTTTAAAAAAAATTCTTTAACATATGTATCATGCTGAACTCTGCCCAGTTCAGGGTTTTTCTCTTAAGAGTTGTACTTTTAACCACTTTAATGTGTCCCTATTCTTTTAATTTTAAACTTGATCTGATAAAGATCTACTTTTTACTGCCTGTTGTGTTATTTCAGTATTCTATTGCCAGTGCCCAGACATGGGAGGGCAGAGAGAGACACAGGGCACTTAGTGCCTGTGTGGACAGAATTTCATCTCTCAGTGTTTCTAAGATTGAGTTCTCAAATCATTCCTGGAGACTATCCTTATGTAAAATCCTTATTTCCTTTTTTATTCCATTATGAATTCTCTACCCACAAGTTGGATATCTGAGAAAACAGGGCTAAGCCCTTACGGGAGTATTATACTTGTCAAATCCATACTCAGTGGATGAAAGTGCAAGTGGGAGAGATGACCTTTACAAAAGAAAGACACAGTCTACCACAAGAACAGGATTTGACCATTCACTATTGTAGATGCTGGGAACATGGCAGTGAACAAAACCCCGATATCCCTGCCGTCAGGCAACTTAGGAATTCTAGAACCTAACTAACCAGGCTGTATCGAGTTTGAAGTGAGAATTCACCCAGGGAAAGAATGGACCAGTTGAAGAGGAGTAGCTACCACAGAAACCTGTCTAGTGGAGACGATGCTCTCAATGTGAATGAATCTTCGTGTCCGCTTGATGGTGCCATCAAGTTGTCACAGATTAAAATCATCCAGCTAACACCCCTGGGTCAGAGTCTGCATTCTTCAGGCAGCACCTAGATACATTATTTCCCTTTCCCTATGGATTTCCTTCACAGAATATACCTCTAAATGGGTAAGTGTTCTCCCTTGGATAGGTATTAAGTCTACAGACCTAAAGCCTAGGCTCTGGGCTAGTGAATTCAGGAAGGGGACAGTCAAGGATCCTCAGCAACACAAAATGAATGGCCCTAGCAGACCATTTGTTTATCCTCAACATGCCTTTTTAGATCCCAGTTAATGCCTTCAAGGAGCACCATGACTTGGGGACTGCAAAGGGACCGGAGGGACAGTTGTAGATTAGCAAGATTCATGGGAAATTGAGGTTCAGAGAAAGGGAAGGATTTTGAGGCTCATATGGACTAAAGAGAAAGAGGTCACAAACCTAGGCGTGGGAGCCATGTGATCTCCTGTTCTGACTACACTGAAGTTCAGAGGCAGGAAATATGTTCTGGAGATAGATAGAGTCTAATGTTCTAAGTAGTAGTAGTAGTACACTGCAAAAGGGAAGACCAGCTTGGAGGCTAGAGTCGAATTAATCTCGGCAAGGTATAACCAGTTTCTGGGAAAGTAGAGGATGGGTTTCAGTCCCAGGTCAGGGAATAGATGAAAGAAATCCAGCTTTGGAGGAACCAGGCAGATAGCATTAGGAGCTACCGAATCACTGGATTTGAATCTGAGGACTTTGATCCCCTACTTGATGACCCGGGCAGAACTCCACACTGAAGAAACCTACCTCAGTGCCCAGGCCCAGAGAGCTGCACGACGGGTACGGGGAAGCCGCACAGATATCTAGGTTGGGGGCACGGGGACATCTTTAGCGTATTTCCAGGTATTTTGACCCATTGGTGCAAGGGCTTTCCATATATCCCTACTAAGGGCCTAGAGTAGGGTTAACAGAAGGATGTGGCTGAGTTTACAGACTGGACCCATGGACTGGCAAACGCCTAGGTGTCCCAGTGTCTAGCGTGTAACAGGCACTCAGTAGACACTGAATTCCACTCCATGTCTTTTTAAATGTTTCCTCACTTTGATTACTTTGTAGTTTTTGATGAGAACTCCACTTTTTAGCCTGATCCTCTCCAGCAGCTCCTCTG